TGTGTGGTGTGTGTGTGTGGTATGTGTGGTGTATGTGTGTGTGTGTGTATGTGTGGTGTGTGTGTATGTGTGTATGTGTGGTGTGTGTGTGTGTGTGTATGTGTGGTGTGTGTGTGTGTGTGTGTATGTGTGGTGTGTGTGTATGTGTGGTGTGTGTGTGTGTATGCGCTGGGGGTCAGAGGCTGTTTTTAAGCGTCTGCTGTGATTAAGGTAAAAAAGCAGAGGCAGAGAAATGGAGTTCAAGTACAGATCCACTGTGATCCAATCAATTGTCAGCATAGGCCAGGTAGGCTGAATGGCCTCCTGTTCCTGTGTGATAGGCATAAGGGGGAAGAGGGGGCTGAATGGCCTCCTGTTCCTGTGTGATAGGCATAAGGGGGAGGAGGGGGCTGAATGGCCTCCTGTTCCTGGAGTCAGCTGCTATGTGTCGTGAGTTTGCTGTTGTTTGTGTTACTGAACCTCCAATGCTTTTTACTTCTGTGTTTTTCCACCCTTTTCCATCCGTCCCTCCCTCCACCCCACTCCGTCCCTCCCTCCACCCTGCTCTGTCCTCTCCCTCCGTCCCTCCCTCGGTGTCCCGGCTCAGATCCTGGCCTTTAAGGAAGCTGAACGGAAGGAGCGGGATGGGATCCGAGTTCTCCGACAGAGGAATATGTCGAAGACAGCGGGGAAGGAGCAGGAAGAGGGTGAACCTCAGGGAGGCTGCGTGTGCGGGCAGGATTCCGGTGGGCCGGTGCTACAGTGTGAGCTCTGCAAGGACTGGTTCCACAGCTCCTGTACCAGCTGCCCTCGCCTCAGCCACCAGAGACACCTGGCGGCCTGGTGGGACTGGGACACCAAGTTTCTGTGTCCCCTGTGCCTACGGTCACGGCGCCCACGCCTGGAGATCATCCTGTCGCTGCTGGTAGCCCTGCAAAAGCTGCCAGTCCGTCTACCAGAGGGTGAGGCGCTGCAGTGCCTGACAGAGCGGGCCATACTGTGGCAGGACCGGGCACGGAGGGCCATGGCCTCCAAGGAAGTGACTGCTCTCCTCGATCAGCTCACTGAGCTCCGGCAGCAACTCCACAACCAGATGGTGAAGGACACCATCGCCCTGAAGGAGAGGAGCCGTACAGTACACCACAGGAGGGTGAGTGTGAGGGGGCGCTGTCCGAGGGAGCGCCACGCTGCCGGAGGGTCGGGGCCGAGGGAGTGGGTGCTGCCGGAGGGTCGGGGCCGAGGGAGCGGCGCACTGTCGGAGGGTCGGTGCCGAGGGAGCGCCGCACTGTCGGGGCCAATGGAGCGGGCGCTGTCGGAGGGTCGGGGCCAAGGGAGCGCCGCACTGCCGGAGGGTCGGGGAATGCAGCTGGCTGGATGTGTACGGTAACTGTGTGTGTGAGTTCCCAGACCCTGGGGGTGATGTTGGGGGAGGTGGGAGAATTACCTGTTGCTGGAGAATGACCTGCTTCTTCCCTTCGTGACAGCTCGATGCGGTGAATGGTGATGCCCTCAATTTGTCCCAGGAATCACAGGAACCCATCGTAACCTCAGAGCCAACAGGTAACTGCCCATACACGCTCCTGTGTGTCTGTTCTCTACCACCTTCTCTCACCCCTTCCTGTCCGTACAAGTCTCCCTGTCTCTGTCTGTGCCTCAGGCTCTGACTTTGTTCCTGGTTCTGGTGACAGGGTCAGGCTCTGTCTCTTCCCACCCCCAACCCCAGGCACTATCCCTGTCCTCATCCCCGGTGCTATGGGTGAGTGAAGACCAGGGACAGACTCTGTCTCCCCCCTCCCCCATCCCCTCTCCCCCTGTCCTTGTCCCTGTCCCTGGTGCTGAGGGTGAGTGAGGAGCCGGTGACAGGGACAGACTCTGTCTCCCCCTTCCCCCTCCCCGCTGTCCCTGGTGCTGAGGGTGAGTGAGGAGCCGGTGACAGGGAGAGTCTCTGACCGTTTCTCCTACCTCTTGCCTCCAGATGAGGAGGAGCTGTGCCTGCAGAGCCCAGCTGTCCAGCTTTCAGAGAATGTGCAGCAGCAGCTCGAAGAGTTGATGATCGATGGAGACCTGCTCGAGGTCACACTCGATGAGAGCCACAATATCTGGAGGGTGCTGCAGGCTGTGAGGGCCCCTCCTCGCGAGAAACTCCACAAACTGCTGCAGGTAGGCTGAGGCAACTGTGCCTGTGTGTGTGTGTGTGGGCGGTGGAGGGGTTGGTAGCTGTGTGGGTTGAGGGGGGGAGTTGGGGAGCTGCGTGGGTTG